AAGATACATCTTTATCTGGCTGTGAGCCACTCTGTCACAGGTGATGCCTGTACTCCACAGCACACACAAAAAATATTCCACAACTGCAATCCCCACAGAAGAGCAGTCTCAACAGCTCCCCACCCTCACCCACCTCCCCTTGATTATGTCATCTGAATGCTTCCATGGGCCACGTGCCAAAAATATCCACATTGTTCACATTCTTCTGAAAGCAGGCAGACAGCACTGCTGAAAAGCTGGAAGCTCCCTGCATTTAGCTCACCTATAATTAACACAGTAGTCTAATTATGGACCACCTAAAAACATACAGTGTTCACAACTTCACAGATTAGAGTCAACAAAAACTGTCACATGTGTAAGGTCAGAACACAAAGGCAAGGAGACCTAGAATAATTTTGACTCACATCAGCCTGCACCAACTACCACAAAACATTCCTTAGCTCAGCAGCTTTCCTGGCTGTCACCAGGGATTGCAGTTCAGTTGTGTCTTCCAGTGGTCTTCAGAGATTTTCCCAGCAAGAGCATTTGGATCTCGGAGCTAAGGGTCCGAAATCAAATCCTTCCTTTTGACATTGTTCTAAAACCATGAATGAACCTATCACCCCTTTCTTAAGTCATGAGATTGGCTTGAAAATAGTATTGTCATGTGCTTATTTGCCTCCAGCATTAGATGTTCAGATTCCCCTTTTCAAGCTTTCTTTACAACTATGTATTTGAAAAAAAAGAGAAAGCAAGCTCTGATTCTTGTGTGGCTAATGTACATCAAGCTGATGCTTTAAGAAAAACAGCAGCCATCATGAGAGTTGGCAACTCTCAAATTGGTGGTTATGGAGGAAAGAATATTAAACAGCTATCATCAATCTATCTAGACCCAGGAAGTGAGCCATGAAACGCTGACAAAGGGGAATATCTGATATGACAATGAGGGTATATTTATCTTTTAAATGAAGAATCATGGAGTTACACTGGAGAGACTCATTTTAACTTTGCAACAATATTTATCTCATCACCTTAGGGTGGTATCTGAGCACCTCAGGCTAAGAGAATTTGTTCTATCAGCTCTTTTAAAGGCCACCATTTAACACTCCAGAGGATGCCACAGGAGCTACACAACCAGAAGAGAATGGAAACTGACCTCCTGCACAGCCCTCGTGCAGCCTCCCGCTGCAGCAGTGGGCCAGGCAGTCAGTGCTCTGCTCATCCTCAACTTCTTTTCTGCCAAACAGGGAAACCACCAGGTTCTCACAACAATATTGAGGTTTGGGGTATGTTCTGAGGATGAAAACATCCTCATTTATTTTGTTTCCCAGCACATTAGGCCTTGTGACTGGGAGCATAAGTGGTGTGTGCATGCACAGGCTGTCACACAAGAAAAGCACAGCTCTGCACAGGCTCTACCTCCAGAACACTGAGGGACAGCTACCACCAAACCACACTCGTATCAGCCCTGGGGCTGTCTGAGCAGCCTCATCTAAACACAGACCAGAATATTTTTATACAGACCTCTACCAAAAACAAAACCTCAAACAAATCCCCAAAACCAAAACCACGAGGCAAGGATGATGCAGACACTGATCTGTTTTAATCACTGTAATTAAAACAGTAGGTTGCAGCTTGAGTTAAAAGAAAGATTGGAAGTGTGTTTATAAATAAGGAAGGCAGAGAAACTCAGGATTCCTACACAGGTGTGATCACCTATACCTAAGTTAACCACAGATTCCTTACAAGGATCTATGCCACCCTTTCCTTCCCCCAAAAAGACTGGACCCCACACCACATAATAATAATTTTTGTCGTTATTTTAAGCTAGTCATGAATTCATCATGCCATCTCCATATCTCTTTTGTCTAAGGACTGATTCTACCAACAAGGACTAATGCTGCCCTTTAGTTCTGATAAACTCACCTGCTTTTTTCCCCCTCACTATCCAAGGTCTGTCTGCTCCAATTGTGGAAAAAGGTAGAAGAAAAAAACTTTCAAACAATCCCAAGCAAACTCCCTGCTTATAGAAAAACTCCTTGGTCCATTCTCCTCACAAGAAAATGAGTACTTGTTCTGTGGAGATACAACAGCTGATTCCAATTAACATTTTCTCTCCCACCTGTTCCCTAAATTGCACCATAAGAATAACATTTGTGACTCAGCTGGAGTGATACCTCTAGACAGCCCAACCTCCTTTTACTTTGTTGGGCAGCAAACCAACTCCCTGTCCTGAGCTGGGTGGGACATTCAGATGCAGTGTAGCCAGTTCACACCAGATTATGGTCACTGGAAAGGAGCTGCAGCTGCTGTAGTTTGATGGTCCCTTACCTTTGTGAGGCCTGTGCTCAGGCAGCCATAGCAGCCTTCAGCACATCCCTGGTGGAGCATCAGTGTTAGCAACCTGACTAACAAACAGTCACCCATCTCTCTCCTTCAGAAGCCTTGAAAATTTTATTTATTCATTATTTTTACTACCAGAGAGTAGAAATTTACCTTAACACAGCCAAAAAATGCAGAAGCACACATCAAATGTGCACTGATGTTTGCCTGACCCCTGCTTCACAGAAGGCTCTCTCACAGTGCAATAGGCCAGAGCTGGCAGCCAGCAATGCTGAGCCCAAAGCCTGCTCTGGCTGCTGTGTTTCTGTGCTGGGTCAAGCACACAGAACAGGCAGCACGTGGTTCCTCATGCTGGGACACTGAGGGGGGGGTTGTTCTGTTTGCTGCTCTCTCCAGGGGTGTTCTTGGCAAGGAGGGTGCGAGTGCAGCACCCTCACTCAATAACTTCTCAGCAAACTAAGTGGAATTAAGCCTTCAGTAAAATCAAAGCTCTGGCTTTGCTTCAGCTATGCATGGAGAGGGGGTGCCTATAGAAAGGAATTAGAGCTTGAACACAGAGTAAAAGCAGAGCAGAGCAAAACCTTCAAATCCTGAAATCACATGACTGAGATTTCCTAACCGCGCAGTGAACATGTTGCTGTACCAGGGAACTCATTCCCATCAGAAAGGCAGGCTTGTGAGTACTCTAAAGCAATTAAAGAAAAAGCTCACCAGCAAAAAAAACAACTACTTTGAAATGAAGCAGCTGATAATAAAAAACTATGCTGGAGTTTTAAGAGTAAGCCAATGATATGTTTCAAGGAAGAGAAGCAGTGGCAAGGACGCCACTTACCTTGATAGCAAAACCCTTTCTGTTGGCTTGTGTAAGGAAAGAGCCACCAGTAATTTAGACAGGGAATTTTGTACTGTTTTCTCTGGCGGAAAGTGAGATTCAGAAGAAAATCCTTAAATCTTTCCAGACCAAAATGATCTATTTTTTTCTGTAAAGCAGGAGAAGCAGCATCTTCTCTGCAGCAGTCTGATTTTCAGAGAGCACACAGAATCATTTGTGAATGTTTGTTGACACCCCTAAAAATCTATTAAAATCATTCTTGCTCTAGTAAAAAGCAGTCTGGACCACAGAGGATCAGAAATGGGCAACAGCAATTGCTGCAGAGTTTGTTGTTTCAGGCCATTTTTTTCATTGTTCATACTATAATAGTGGCTGTATGTATGTTATAAATATAAAAAGGAAAATACCCACTTGGTTACCTTATTTCCCGTATTGTAGAGTGGGGTTGATCACATATTAGCAAAACACCATGGATGGAAGGAACCTGAGGAGTTTAGAAGGATTAGACGCAATGAAGCAAACCAATCTGTTTCTGTGTGCACTTCTTGCTCACAAATGTAATAAACAAATAATAAAACAGACACCCCAAAACTCCATTTGGCATCATGGGGTTGCAAATGTTTCTGGAGACATGTCTGCAAGTGATACAAGGGAAACAACTCCCTTCCTGAGAAACCAGTGACTGCAGAAGGGGCAGGGGTGATGACTTTACAAAGCTTAAAGACTGCATTTTACTCTTTAATCTTCGGTTATACACATGACTTCATTGTGAGAAGGTCACCAGACAAAGGAGTTCAGTGAACTGGGTCTGAAGGGAGGAACTGTGAGAGGGTCTCAGCTTTGCTCATGCAAACCATTCACGTAACTGGCATGGCCATCTGCCCAGTGAGGGGAGAGCCCGGTGCTCACACAGCCCGGCACAGACATCCTGGGAATCGGTGGGAATAAACAGAAATTGTCACAGCAGAAAAAAGGTATTGAGGAGTAAGCTTAAATTCACCTTCTGCATCCCGAGACACTACACAGCACCTGGGTATCGCGGTCAGCACCTTGCACCAAGGCCGAACCTTCGCTCTCCCCAAACACGAGGCAGGACGGGGCGAGGGCCGGAGCGCGACTCCCTGTGGGACGCGGCTCCGAGGCGCTGCCCGCGAACCCCGGGCCCCTCGCTGCCGGCGGCGAGCGGCGGAGCGCTGAGTGGGGCGGCGGGACCCTGCGGGATGGGGCGAGCCTCTGAGGGGCGGTAGAATTTGGGGAGGCGGTGGGATCTGGGGAGGTGGCGGGACCCCTGAGGGATGGGGCGAGCCGCTGAGGGCAGGGGGGGGCGCGGCCCCACGTGACGCTGGCGCCCGCCCGCATCGCCCGGGCCGCCGCTCGCGCTGGAGCCGCTCGCGCCGTTGCCGCGCGCGCAGTCCGGGCGATGCGGGCGGGCGCGCGGCGGCGCGCGGCGCTGGTGGTGCTGGCGGCGCTCGCGGCCTGGGGCGCGCGGGCCCAGCGCCCCGGGGACCCCTCGGGTACGGCGGCATCGGGAGGGACCGGGAGGGCACCGGGGACACCGGGACGGGACCGGGCTCCGCTCGAGCGCTGCACAGCCCGTCCCGCGGGCGCTCTGCCCCGCCGCAGGTGTGCGGCGCTCTGGGGGCATCGCTGCAGCGCTTCTTGCTGTGCTCGAATCCGCAGACGTCCCGGGGCCTGAAGAATGGGAAGGTTCCATACACGATGTGTAACAATTTTGCGCTCAATTTTCAGAAAACGGGACGCGTTGCATCCTCTCGTCTTCATCGGAGTTTCCTGAAGGATTTTTCACACCGCAGGAGAGGAAGGATGGAGGAATCGTTATCTACTTCATAATTATACTGTACATGTTTCTGGCCGTGTCCATTGTGTGCGATGATTACTTCCTACCTTCCCTAGAGATCATCAGTGAATGTAAGTGACATCCTGACTCTTTTCCTGTAAAACTGAGAAGCTTGGCATAAAACTTTCTCTTTTAAAAAGCTTCAAAGTTAGAGTGCTCTGAAAGAAAACTAAACAAGTTTCACTTTCCATGCACAGATGTGTCCATAGAATATTTAATTTGATACATAGGATCAATATTTTATTGAAAAAAAACTAGTGATTACACTGCACATGTATTCATTTAATATTTACTTTCTTTCTGCCTGGAAGAAAACCTTAAGATTCCTCAGTATTGACTAAACTGACAATTTCACTTTGAGTTGCATAGTACTATGTCCAGGTAACTACTAGTGAAAGAAAAACAATTAGGAGGGATGGTGATTGGTGAAACCAATACTCTTTCTAGGGTTTGTTTTTCTTTAAAAGTAGTGATGAGCTACTGCTAACATATGAAAGTATGACACAGGAGGGACAGGAATTCTATGGTTACCACGGTTCTAAGAAATCTAATCAACCTGCAACAATTCCCCTGGCTCCAGCAGACCACTGAAGAGATCATCTTGGCAGGGAGTTGAGATTTTCGCTGCCAAGAATTAACAAAATTCCCTAGGGAAACTGATCCCTGAACTGGAAAGCCTCCTCCAAATCTGAACACTTACAGCAAGTGTAAGCTTATACACTGCCATAAGAGCTGGTGTTTTGTTTATTGACAATAAATTAGCATTTGTCAGACTTGCCATGGTCAGCCACACGTCCCTGTACTTGGTGTGCAGGACTTGATCCAGAGTGAGTTACATGCCAGAAAGTCAATTTGCCGGAACAAAAATCTCATTTCTCTTAAGCAACACACAGGCTCTTACACTGTCCATACAAAATGAAAATTTGATTTTAAGATCACAGCAGTGGTTTGAATTTAACTAATGTTTCTGGTATGTGAAGACACAGTAGTACAGATTTCCCTGGAAGATGGACAGAATTGATATTGATCATACAGCAATATCACACTACAGTCCATGGAATTTCCCCATAATTATTACCAATAGGAAACACAGTTTAATCCTGCATACAAATGCTGATTTTACAAGATTTAAACTAATTTCTGTAATGAAGTTAGAAATAAACTAGCCCAATAGATCAGGCTAATTTTCAATATATTACTTTATGACTCTCATATAAATGTATTGACTGTATGAAAATAAACTTTAATCTACTAAACTGTTGTAGTAGCAGCTAACATTATGTACTAGTGAGAGTAAAGGGTACAGGCTACTGCAGCATCAATTTTTTTAAGCAATTCTTTTTGTTCTGTCCTCAGGCCTTGGCCTCTCACAGGATGTAGCCGGAGCCACTTTCATGGCTGCTGGAAGCTCTGCTCCAGAGCTTGTCACTGCTTTTCTAGGTAAGAGATGTGTTTTATAACTCCTTATAACTTAGAGCTCTTTTCCTTGCATGCCAAACTGAAACATACCAGAGTCATTTTCCTTACAGGAGCTTTTGTGACAAAGGGAGACATCGGCGTCAGCACCATCCTTGGATCAGCAATATATAATCTTCTTGGTATTTCTGCAGCTTGTGGGCTGTTTTCCAGTGTGGTAAGTATAACTTTGATAGTTCTGCTCCTAAGGGCAAAAGAGTTATCCTTTCTCATTTGCCAACAAAAGCCAAGAGAGACTTACTATGACAACTGCCAAGTTTATTATTTAGTAGCAAAACCAGCATGTAATCAGTTTTAAGATAACTTGCTATGAAAGTTTTTAAAAACACTAACTTGTTGAATATCATACTTAAGTCATTCCTAAGAATCTTTAATTTTTACATAATATAGAAACAACATATTGATGCAGCATTTACAGCACTTAGTGAAAGTATTACAGAGAGGTTTAAGAAAAGCACATGACTGATCTGCAGGTTTCCAGGCTGTCCTGTTGGCCGCTGTTCAGAGACTGCCTGGCATATACCATCAGTGCAGCAGCCGTCCTTGCCATGATATCTGACAGCAGAATTTACTGGTAAGAGCACAAGTAGTGTTGAATTCCTGTTGACTGGAGATTTGTGAGACAGTGTTTTGAAAAACAAATGAAAATCCCCAAGCCCCAAACTTCAAGTAGCCTGAACTGCCGTTCACTAACAGAAATGAACATCCTGTAGGCTTTTAAAAAAAAGTCACAATGCTTGTAAAGATTATTACCGAAACATTCAAACTCTGCATATTTGAAGTTTGACCTGCAAAGGTTTGTCTGTACAGACTTCACAATTTCTATCACAACTGTTCTGACATGGCAATTAGTGTTCAGCATTTACTCCTTTTAAGCCTTTCCTTTCATTCCAGCATTGTTCAGAAAAACTTTTGTGTGCCAAAGGAGACCATGAGTTTCTGATGTTTTAACTCTTCCATCAACACTGAAACTCCTGTTACCTCAACAAGACAGTCAGGTCCAGCAATAAGTCTCTTGAAGTTTATAATTTAAGCATCACATGAAGACTCAATTTTGCAAATATCAGGAAAATGTTCAATCAGTAAGATCCCCTGAAAAAACATGCAGCTATACAATACACAAACAAGATTCTGCAGAGGGGAGTTAATTAAACTGCTGAAAGACATGGGGACACTCACAAACTTCCATGACATTAGCCATACAATTGCAAATAGATGCTTTTGTGTGTTCTCCTTCTGCTATTCATGCAAATCTTTTCTCTCTTCTTATGCCAACAACTGGGTTCTTTTATACTACATGTTATATAAAACTTGTTTTTCATTCTAGGTATGAAAGTGCATCCCTGTTATTGATATATGGGTGTTATATTCTGGTACTATGTTTTGACATTAAAATCAACCAATACCTCATGAAAAAGTTCAGTCCCTGCTGCACGTGTTTCACAAAAGCCATGGAAGAGAGCACGGAGCAGCAGCCACTGGTTGGATGGAGGGACGAGAGCGGCCCTCTCATTCGCCAACAGTCACGGACAGACAGCGGCATTTTTCAAGATGAGCTGGACTACTCTCAACTTTCCACAAGCTTACACGGGCTCGATGAAATCTCTGAAGGTACAGGTTTGTTACAGCTGTCTCTAGCACCCTGCATGCCTGTCTGCATCAATTCTCATCAACAGCAGATTCTCAGACAGTATTACGATTTTGCTCACAAAAGAACTCCAGCCTAGTATTTAAGTAAATCATTATTCTAACGTGGAATATAACACTGAGCAAAATCAAAGTGATGGTTTTTATATGAAGTCAGTTGCTAGAGGAATGCAAGGATAGTTGCTCATTTGTGTTGTAGTAGAACTTCTGTCTTTGTTGTATTTGAAACTTCCCAGCAACATTGCTTGTAAAATGCACTATCAGCTGAAAGCCACACAGGTACTGTAGTAATAGACACTCTTTCCATATGACAGTGGCAGGTTGGTAGCCCAAAATATGCATAATATCAAAAGTAAAGGGATAGCTGTGATGTGGCCACAGGTCATGTTTCCACTCAGGCAAAAAAGAGCAGTTGGTACTTACTCTTGGTAAATGCCATGGGCAAACCCTTATAAAGAAATTCATTTTTCATCCACCTTAGTTCACCCCTGGTGATGTAATAAAAAACATTTTAATCATAGAATATTAGGCTGGAAAGAGATCTCAAGGATCATCTGGTCCAACCTTTCCTGGCAAAAGCATGATCCCAGATGGGCCAGCACCTGTTCAGCTGAATCTTAGAAATGTCCAGCACTGGGGAATCACCACTTCCTGGGGAGATTATTTTACTGGTAGTTATTCTCATTGTGAAAAAATGTTTTTCTTGTGTGCAAGCAGAATCTCCCCAGAAGTAACTTGATTTCAGAATTTTGTCCAGACAGATGTAGGTACTGGGTGATACTACAGCTGAAACTTGAGGAAGAAGTATTTTTCACCTTTTTTCAGTATTCTCACAAGTAGAGGACAGTAACATACTGTACGCTATGGATTCAAACTTAATGCCACAATTTAAAAGTTGCTTTTTCCTCAACAGATCATCCAAATGTCTTTACTATGCCTGAAGCAGATATGAAGAGAATTTTGTGGGTGTTATCCCTTCCTATTATCACACTACTCTATTTAACTATACCAGATTGCAGAAGACAGTTTTGGAGGAACTGGTTCATGGTGACATTTTTAATTTCAGCAGCGTGGATTTCTGCAATAACTTATGTTCTTGTATGGATGGTAACAATAGCAGGTAGGTACCTAAAGTGGTGTTGCTATACCAGTCAAGAATCATGGAAAAAGTTGTGTGGTTTCCCTGTGAGGTTTCCCTTTAAAAGTCAATTTAGCAACTCAGACTGTGCTGTAAAAAAACACAACAAAGAAAAACAACAGAAACTTACGTTTGACTGCTTAGTTTGCCACCCTCTTCTATCCACTGATGGAACACTTTTATAGAGTTTAGCTGCTTCACACTGCTTACCATCACATGAAGGAGAACTTCATGTAGCTACAAAAAACCCTATCTATTTTTAAAAACAGTTTCACTAAACCGCTTCATTAAGCAAAGCAATTAGACACACAGCAATAAACTTGTCATGCTGAAGGCTGACAAACATTAAATCCCCCAAGACTGGAATTAGAGGTCAAAGTTTTTTGAAAAAATCCATAATTTCTATACCTGTGTTTTTCACAAACGTTACAGTAAGAGATTTGGCATTAAATTCACTGCCAAAAAACTTCTCAAATGTGTTTATAAACATTTTCGGAGTGTGTATATGTGGACCTCTTATAAATCTGCATCACAAAGTGGGGCAGTAAAAGGATTGCATTTAAGTGAGAGAAGGGGTATGGACTTATATGTAAACACCTTCTCCTATAAGTACTTTGAGGTATTAAAGGTCTCCTCATTTCATTGTTTCTCCAGTCAGCTTGAAAGACATCCAGTTTTTATATTTAAGAACAAGCAGAAAATGAAACTGAAACTCTACAGAATGTTTCAAAGCTTGCCATTTTCACATTATAGCTCACTAATCCTACTCAAGCTTTCTACTACTTCAGATATGAATAACTCCTTGTTCAGTGCAGGAGCAGACCTACACATTCAGTAAACCTTTGAGAAATTATTAGTAGATCACTGGATATTACACCCACTGTGTTAACTCCTTGGGTAAATAATTTTCCACTTGTACCCAAAGAGCAAGGGTTCACTGTCTGGATGCTAAAAGCCTTTGAAACAGGATTCAAGTCAACATTATTGCTGTTCTACAAGACAAAGCATTAAAATGAAAGTAGGTATGGTGGAGATTGAGAGAGTGTATGAGTTCACTTTCCAGAGTCATCACAGGTAGTACTGGGGTCTTTGGCCCACTACTTCTAGGTAAATTATATTCTATTTACATGTTAAAACACTACAAGTTAAACACACAATATATTCAAGTCCAGGCTCTCATGAAGGTTGAGAACTCAAAGGTTCTACCATTGCATAATCAGTCTATCAGAATGTCACAAAAGTATCATAGCTGGGCACTAAACTGGGATGGTCAAGAACAAACCTAATTTAGTACATCTTTCTGTTGCTGGCAAAGAAAATTCGATTACTTATAGCAACACATTGCTACTAATACACAAAATTAACAAAAGCCTAGAAAAATAAGACTTTTCTGTCTAAATGGTCAGTTGCTAGAAAATAAACCACTACACATTAAATAGAAGATAAATCTATCTAATAAAATAAAAAAACTAACTTCTCCTGAGTTTATATTCTGTCTTATAACCTTCAGAGGGCTAGAAACTAATGTTGGGTACATAAGGCTGGTTCATTCGTATTTCACCTTGGTTTGAACCATTATTTTCCAGCCTGGATGATTTATAAAAGCTGATTTGTTGGTCCCTCACCCTACAAATCTATTAGAAGTGATGGAAGGATAAAAAGAATACAAATTCTGCAACAGGATCATGTTAGTACCCCTGAAATCAACAAACAGTTTCAAATATAAATTTACTGGGCTGCTCTAGACTAAGCTGGTAAGTAATAGACAAGCATTGCTGACCTAGCTTAGTGTACTGCCTCTTATTTAAATAAAACGGCTCTTATTAAATATGTCAAAATATTTCATGTAAGAACTCAGATTTCAACACTAAAAAATATTAAGATACTTTTTAGTGAACCAAAATGTTTAAGAAAAATTAATTGCTTTGTAGCTTGACTAGAGGTATTAAATACTGATGCACCTGAATGGTACAACTGCTGAAACAGTTTTGAAGAATCCCTGTATTTTAAGCTAGAAATTAATATGATTAAAAGACATTTGGGGCTGAGAAAAATAGAGATTAGGGGAAAATACGCTGCTCTTCTAATAACAGTTTAAAACTTTTCTTCAAATTTAAACGAGTATTTCCCTACAGGAACTCACACTTCTAAGGGGTTACTTGTACTTACAAGTCTTATAAAAATTCCGCACTCTGATTCTTCCAAATCACTTTCTAATTGGAATGAAATGGTAAAGGCATGTAGTTGAGACAGTATTCTCACAATATCTTAATGACAGTCCTCCCCAAGGTAATTCATGTGCTTATTCCCCTTCCCCCGAGGGAATTTAAAAGAATGATTATAAGAGTTATTGCTTCATGAGACTTTTGAACACTAACAAGGAGATGCCCAAAACTGTAAGAGACTATAGTATTTTCTAGAAGTTAAGGGAAAAAAAAAGGAATAGTAATTTGTTAGATATTTAAACTTTTACTTTATCTGCAAGAAAAAAATCTTAATTGCTACTGTCTTGACCACTGCAGACTTGAAGAACAAGGAAAGGATATTTGTTGTCACTCTTTGTTTGAAATGCTTTGTGGTTCTGTCACCTCATATGTAGTTAAATTAGCTGATACATTCCATATGGAATTACTGTATGATTGATTCTTTCTCCAGCAAACAAAGTCCAAAGCATTTTCAGTGGATGAGCCCTAACTTAAACCACACTTGCATTTTCTACCCTTATTTCTCAACTGCAGGTGAAACGCTGGGAATCCCAGAGTCAGTCATGGGTCTCACCCTACTGGCAGCAGGAACCAGTGTACCAGATACAGTTGCAAGTGTGCTGGTGGCTCGAAAAGGTAAAAGATTTTAGTATTTAGGCTCATGCCAATGGATGTGTTTAAAAAGGTACTACAAAAAGAAAGAATTCTAGTCAACATTTTGATAAATTCAAGGAGTAACCTCAAAATCCAAGCTTCGGATTCTAGAGCTTAAGTTTACTGAAAATAAATAAATAGCTTACCTGAAAAAGCTGTGGCTCAGACATTTAAAAACTTCTCAGAGTATCTCAGAGAAGTATTCTAGATTGGTTTATTTGTTGTTGATTACGTATTACAGTTTTACTGCAGAACACAACTGTAGGTCTCAGTATTTTAAGCATAAATGGATTTTATAATAGCCTGTCTAGCTTAATTTTAAGTGCAGCTGTGCAAATGCTGGTGATTTAGGGAGACTTTTTATGGTTGTGGTACCCATGTTCTGTAGAATCTGTGACTATAGTTCTTCCAATGCAAAATCTGAAAAGGGTGCTCTGTGAGAAACTGAGGGCTGGCAGTCTGTTCCTCCAAAACAGTTTGGCAATTTCATGCAATACAATTAAGCCAACTTATCTGTATTTCTTCTTTTATAGGAAATGGAGATATGGCTATGTCTAACATCGTAGGATCCAATGTATTTGACATGCTCTGTTTGGGAATACCCTGGTTTATAAAAACTGCCTTCATAAATACATCAGGACCCATAGAAGTGAACAGCAGTGGTCTGACATACACAGCCATTTCTCTTATCTGTTCTGTTGGTTTCATTTTTCTGGCAGTTCACCTGAATGGCTGGAAAATAGATAAAAAATTGGGGACAATTTGTCTTGTCCTATACTTAGTATTTACTGTATTATCAATTTTATATGAACTTGGCATCATAGGAAACAATCCTACAAGGGTCTGTGGTAACTAGTTTTAATCAGTGATTATGCTGGTGAAAAAAATAAAAGCAGGAGAAAAAAAAACCCAGTTTCTTCATTTAGTCAAAATAAAATTTAAAAAAACAACTCCGAACTCCCATTGGGCTCTAAATCTTATATACAGAACTAAGTCATATCATTAAAGTAATATTAAGTAGAACAAAAACATCACAGCCTAACTGGAGCCCTTTCTTTTAGAGTCAAGAATTACAGTATGACTACAACGCACATATAAAACCAAAATTCTGAAAAAGACAACTACTTCTTACATTACAATGTTGATACACACATTTGGCGGGGAAAAAAAAGATCAGAAAACACTAAATAAATCCCACTATGCAATCTGGAGATTAACAGAGAAAATGGCTTATTTTATTAAAAACAGTATAACCATTCATTTAAACTGAATGACTAGAGACACTTGGCCTAATTTTCCAAAGGCACTGAGCATCCAAAGCATCCCCAGTCTATAGGGACCTGCAGGTGCTCAGTGCCTCTAAAAAAAACAACAAAAATCAGGCGAATTGTCTTTAAAAACCAAACATAGTAAGATTCAGTTAACAAGTATCACAGTATATTAAACACTATACTGTTAAAGGCTGGTGGGATTTAAAAGTTCCTTTTTACAGCTTTTGTAAGCATACAATGTTACTAAAAATGACTTACTAAGACAGAGAAGCTAAACAGACATAGGAATGTTCCTGAACACACAGTTTTAAATTATGCATTGCGATCCAAGCGGACATCAATTTCTCTGCCACTGATTTTTATGCCGTTCATTATCCTACAGGCCTTTTCAGCAGATTCTGGTGAGTCAAATCTGACTGTTCCACAGCCCTTTGATTTTCCATTCTCCATTTTTATTTCTGCAAACATTACATGACCTGAATAAATAAGTTAAACAGCAGTTATTTCAAGTCCTCAGTGTACTAACAACTTAACTCAGAAGTAATAAAAGAAAAAACTTAAGTATAATCTAGGGGAACATATGAAATTGGCACTTTCAGACTGATGGTACACTCACTCATTCAGGCAAGGTGACATGAAACAAAACAGCAGGAAAGAATCCAAATCCAGATCTGCTATCTCAAATCTTTCCTGAAGTGTGCCTGTATTTGACCTCAAGTTTAAACAAAGTGTCCTGTAAGACTCAGGGAAAGGTTTGTGTTTCATACTGACAAAAGTGTGAGTATTGAACTGTAGCTTAATCCAGTCCACCCTGTTCATGACAAAAACATACCAAAGCAATAGTCACAACCAAGCAATTTTGCTAAGAAGCTGCAGAGCAAAATTAAAGCAATAACCACAAAGTTACCAGGCTGGGAGTGGTGGAAAAGTAGCATGCACGATCCAATTCCTGCTGAGCTTCCTTGAGGTTGGACACTCAACTCACAAGGAAATATTTTTATAAAGATGTACCTCTGAGAATGTTCAGTTCCCTGGAGCTAATGAGTTTTTGGTTATGGTATGTTGTAGCACACCCCTCGTGAGCCCCTGAACATCACTAGGAAGAAAAAACTTTTCCCTGAAATACAAAGCCTTTTATTTTTAAATATCATGTAAGACTGTCCTTTCAGTTTTGAAAGAAATGGTACACTGGGAAACAGTCTCTGTATTTCTTTATGATACTGACATGAACACAATCTGTTGCTTATAATTCTTTAAAGCAACTGAACATAATTACTACATCTATTAGCTGACAGAGATACTGAAAAAAAGTTCTGAACTATCTGAAAGTTGCCCAGGAGGTTAAGACTGAGAAAAAAAGGAAAGAACCTGTTGTGCTATATCCTCCATCTACAAAGAAAACATCAACACCTTGTAATTTTTCATAATTAAACTGCAAGGTCTAATTTATAGCAATATCTCTAAACAGCTGTATGATGACTGCCTTAGGCATCAGCAGTATGTTTTAGATTATTTATCTTTTCAGTCTATCCAAAATAAGAAGTCATCCAGTAATTCAGTCAAAGCTCTCCGTTCTGAAAACGTGTTTTCAAAACATGTATTTTGACACTCAAGCTTTATTTTTAACTTATTTCTGTGAAAAGACCAACTTTTCTGAATTAGATAAAACCAAATATTGAATATTTGTAGCAAAATTTTATTTTTTAAGATGAAGGAGAACATACAGCCTGCAAATACTCTAATCAGGATCACCCATATATATAAAACCTGTAATGCTATTCTGGCAAAATTACTAACTCTGATTTGATGCAGCACCATTTCTAAAGTAATGCATGACCTGGACAGATCCAGGCTCCTGCACATATTTAACTCCTAGGAAACACTACATTATATACTTCTACTGGCCAGGGAATACGTCAAAAAAAGAAAAAAAAATCAAAGAGTAATTTTATTAAAGGAATAGGTTAAAGTTCATAGCAAGTGAGCACTCAGAGCCAACACAGCACATACTGTACCTTGGTCTTGTGTTCTGTCATGCCTAAAGATTATTTATATAACTCAAGAAAGCTGGGTGAAACAAGAAAAATTAAGCTAGCCAGACTCTTCTTCAGAGTCAGACAACAGTCTTCCTGTTATTATCTAATAAACACCACATAACACCTGAAGTCCATAGAGATGAACAGGGTAAGGTTCATATACATACCACATTGACTGAATTTCTCCTTTAGCTTCTGCCAGGTCAAGTCAAAAGGAAGCTAAAATAAAAAGGTATTATTGGTAACAAAATATTACAATGAGAATAAGAGCATGTAATCAAACATACCCACAAAATAAGCTTGTGATTCCTATATATTCCATTGCTTACATTTCTCACAAATATCTGGTTGCCTTTGGAGCCCAATCTCTCTCTCATGCCACCTCCCATCGGGCCAGGCCCAAATCCTCGATCGATGTCCATGTTCCTGTCCAGGCCTCCACCCATGGCGGGTCCCATCCGATCAAAGCCGGAGCCCATCCGATCCATTCCCATTCCTCCAGCCATATTGTTCATACCACCCATGCCACCACCTACACAGAGAGAGATGGAGGACAAAATAAAATCGCCTTTTAGCAATAAACACACAAGTATTTGGGATAAAATAAAGTTCTTGTGTCAGGAGAAGTATAACTTTATTAAAAGTGCTGTAATATAAACCGTAACTTTTATACGTGCACAGTGATTTATCAAGGAGCATGGCCAGTATTTTAAGACCAAGTATTATACAAGATCTAGAGTGTCAGCTCTAAAATAGTAAAACCAAACTGCATCAGGCTATAAGTCATACCATCTAATGTAGCAAAATGTTGAACACAAGAATTCAAAGTCTGTCTTGTTTAATTTAAAAAAAATATGATATCTTTTACCAGAAAGATCAAATAAATAATTGTGGCAATACTTAGATACAGGTAATTGGACCAGATATACAACTGTTTATTTGGCTTCCTTCATTTATATCCAGCTTAACTTAATGCAGCCGTGCCCACACCTAACTGCAAAATCTTCTAGAGAAGGCTTTTTTTTTGGCCAAGAACAGAAGTTACTGCAAGTACTGTAAAGAGCATGAACTTTCCTATGTGTCACAGTTTAAACCCCGATAAAAGTACAACCACGGAATAAAATGTATTAATTCATTTATATAAGTAACTAAGAGCAATAGCATTCAAATACTATAATATTTCTGGATTCATAATTAAAAATTAATGTACAGTAAAACTATCAAGAACATTCACGAGGGACCCTGTCTTTAAGCCTTATGCCTTCTAAGATCAGCACTAGCAAGATTTTAGTTTCTCATCTGCTATAGACTGAGGAACTCAGAGAGTTTGCTGCAATACAAACTCAGTATTGGAGCTTTGCACAAAATTAAACTGGGGGATAATCTGAAATTCAAGGCTGACTTTTTATGTCAATGATGACATTACTGAGGTTCAGTTTTCATCAACTTTACTCAAATAACTCTGCCTGTCTTTTTTTCTGAAACACAAGTTTACTTTAATCACTTCTCCCTCCAAACTAGAAGTTGAAACCATTCCAAATCTAAGATTTAGGGAAAGACTCTATTAGCTAGTTTTCCTCTGAACTTTTACCTAAACATAACAGCTTTGAAAACTGTTAGACTTGTCACATGCAACAGAGTTCTACTTCCCTCAACAGCAAGACACTACACTACACCAAGTTCCTCTGATACAAGTAGGTGTACACGGCATTGTTACATTGCCTATGCATTTAGGTTCTATTGAAACAAGTTAACCTACTCATTCCAGATCTTACTGGGCCCATGCTAGGTGCTCCCATTCCTCCTGCAAAAACACCAATCATTGCACCATCTAAACAGAGAAAAATAACGAAGTGACATACACTGAAACCAGCAGTTAGTGCAAAAAACAAAGCCCACGCTAATGAAGTGCGCTGTTCTCAGTGTTACCTGGCAATATTCCTCTATAAGGACACGAGTGTGTGCCTTTACTATACAAACTGAATAGGAACACCTTGTAAGTAAAGTTAGTTTCTCCTTTCCTACTACAGGATTTAGGCTACTCTGATTTCTTTCTAGCTTTTTTCCCCTCTGACAGCCTGCCAGCAGCACAAACATGGTAAAACTAAATGGGCCATTTCCCACATTGGGAAAAAAAACTTCAAAATTCAAGGCTTCATCTTATATGAACTTGATAGTATAAAAAGTCAACAATTCTGTTGCAAATCAAACATCCTCAATTCCATTCTGATACTATAGCTCAATCAAAGACACCTTCCTTGATTTCAAGGTTACTAAAACCAAATGCCTTCACAGTATTTCTTTCTAAGATACCACTAACCTAAATACTGTAACAGGAGTACATCAGGGCCTTCCCTGATCAAACACAGTATCTATTAGAAGTCCCTACAATTTCCTTCCATTATTTAAGGTGAAGCTGGGAATCTCTAATCTGGGTTCTCAGGACACTATTCAAATGGGCAGATCACTGACAGTTTGTAAATTGAAGCGTGCTGGATCTACTGAATGAAAGACACCCCCATCAGTTTCTCACAATGGCCCTGTTCATAAATTTTTAAACCAATGTGTTACCTGAAGACTCAGAAGCCTACTGCTTGCAGAAACATTTATAACTTAAGTGGCCTTGCATTTTCACTCAAGCAACCGATGTTTCTGCAAGTAGCCAGAGTGAAAGCATACACTTGATTTCTAAGACATTCATTCCAAGGCATTAAGACTAGCTTAAAGGACAAGCTTATTATGTTCTTACCACTTCTACACAATTATCAGTATTGAAGAGAAGCACACAACAGTTACCCTTTT